AAGGAAATGGAAGCCTATGGAATGCTTCAAAACTTCTCTTTCGGAGCAAGGACAAGGTACGTGTATACAGCACCTTGGAAATGCTTGTTTTGCTTCTGGGTTACACAGATTTCAGCATCCAGAGCTGATAAAACCTGAACCTTCCATCTCATGGCAGGTTGGCCCAGACATGTTCACTTGTAAAAGAAAAGTGTACGAGGTGAACTTCTGGTTTAGTTTTGGTCTGTGTCGTCTATGTGGTGCTTTACAGTGGTGTGTCTGGGGTCTTTGCTTGTTCGTCTGTAGTAATGGCGAAGTAGCTTTCAGTAGATACACCCTGACTTTCCTTACCGTGCTCCCCAGATTACCCTCTGCGTGACAGGAAAGAGAAAGACACATGGGATGACGAATTCCTTTACGCACACCTCTCTGAAGCTTCAGTGCAGCATATTTTCCACAAATGGAGTGACTATGAGAGAAACCTTTTAATTTTCTTTCTCTCTCACAGCCTTAGTGATTAAAGATGAAAAGGAGGATGCTAAATGCACATTTTTAGATGTATGCTGGTTGAGAATGAGGCCTGGAGGGGAAGGTAAATAAGGTGGGGAGTGGAGGCTTGAATGTGACTGACAGTGGATTATAATTGGCTACAAGAAACTATTTTTATCAGATCAAGTCTCCCTCTAACACTGAGTCCTCAACGTAAAGAATTTTAGTACCACAGCCTTTAAAAATCCGTGTCCAGTCGCAAGTTGTACAAGCACGTCTTGATGAGTAACTAAGATCCGATAGAAGGCACTGTCTTTGATTCAGTGGTAACATCCTCTAACTTCCGTTGTCTGACATCTCCATAGATAGTTTACACGTAGAATACGATGCCTTCTTATCTTGCCCAGTGCTTGCAGGTATTTCTCGTTATGTTTGCACATGCACTGTTTTGATTTAGTTTAGTTGCGTTATCATTTGATCCTGGTCAATAGTTCAACCTACAGAACTACCAAGCAGGGGAATAAATGAAACCGATTTTGACTCTTTCTCAGTCAAGTGGGTTGTCTGGCAAGCCAAGAGTGTAAATAGATTTTGTGGCTATTACAGACTTGCACACTAGAAAACAGAGAGCCATGCTTCCCAGTTTCATTACATAATTCAGACAGTGTCACGTCCAGATGATGGGATTACACCTGTCTCTTTATCTCAGCCAAAAATGCATTTTTTTGGCTCCTGCTTTGATGTATTCCCACAAAAATAAGAAGATTACAGCAGAAAATTGAGGGGTTTTTCTGTTTTGCATGAAGAAGTATAAAAGCATGCCTGTGTAAGTATATACATACACACATACACTTATGTACATGTATGTGATCATAGCTTTTGCCTCCAGTCATGTACTGTCTCCTTCACAGTACAGTATACCTGGAATAACTTCATGAGATCTTGTGATTGCAGGTCTGGCGCATCTGTCACTGAGAGGAAGATCTGTCCTAGATTCAGTGTAGTTTCAACTTTGCTATTATTTAAATATCAAAGAAAATATTTTAAATAAATAAATTTATTTGCATTATTTATGTGTGAGTATTAGCGTTTATTTTTCAAGTGTATATAGAGATGCGTATACACAGCCACATTTTGTTAAACAGGTAAAAAAGTCACATTAGTTCTCTGATGAATTGCTGTGGTTTCACTTCGGTGCAATGGGTATCAGCATCTGCCCAGGTGATCCTTCTAAAGTGTTATTCCCTGTTCCTGGCACATTGCTGATACGATGCCAGCAGAGTCAGTAACTGAGCGTGGCCTGTTTTATTGCATGTGACTAATTCAGCCAAGGTCACGTCTTGTTGGGCCCTGAAGGTGTTTGCCTTCTAAGTTGAAGCAAGGCTTTTGACACAGTCTCCCGTAACATCCTCATAGGGAAGCTCAGGAAGTGTGGGCTGAATGAGTGGTCAGTGAGGTGATGGCTGAATGGCAGAACTCAGAGGGTTGTCATCAGCAGCGCAGAGTCTGGTTGGAGGCCTGTAGCTAGTGGTGTTCTTCAGGGGTCAGTGCTTGGCCCCGTCTTACTCAACTTACTCATCGATAACCTGGATGAAGGGACAGAGCCGTACCCTCAGCAAGTTTGCTGATGACACCAAACTGGGAGGAGTGGTGGATACACCAGAAGGCTGTGCTGCCATTCAGCGAGACCTGGACAGGCTGGAGAGTTGGGCAGAGAGGAACCTGATGAGGTTCAACAAGGACAAGTGCAGGGTCCTGCACCTGGGGAGGAACAACCCCGTGAACCAGTACAGGCTTGGGGCGGACCTGCTGGAGAGCAGCTCTGTGGAGAGGGACCTGGGAGTGCTGGTGGATGACAGGTTGACTATGAGCCAGCAGTGTGCCCTGGCTGCCAAGAAGGCCAAGGGGATCCTGGGGTGCATTAAGAAAAGTGTGGCCAGCAGGTCGAGGGAGGTTCTCCTTTCCCTCTACTCTGCCCTAGTGAGGCCCCATCTGGAGTACTGTGTCCAGTTCTGGGCTCCCCAGTTCAAGAAAGATGAGGAGCTACTAGAGAGAGTCCAGTGGAGGGCTACGAGGATGGTGAGGGAGACTGGAGCATCTGTCCTATAAGGAAAGGCTGAGGGAACTGGGCTTGTTCAGCCTGAAGAAGAGAAGGCTGAGAGGGGACCTTATAAATGTTTATAAATATCTGAAGGGTGGGTGTCAGGAGGACAGGGACAGCCTCTTTTCAGTGATGCCCAGTGACAGGACAAGGGGCAATGGGCACCAACTGAAGCATAGGAAGTTCCGTCTGAACATGAGGAAGAACTTCTTCCCTCTGAGGGTGACTGGACTGAAGCACTGGAATAGGCTGCCCAAGGAGGTTGTGGATTCTCCTTCACTGTGATACTCAAAACCCGCCTGGACAAGGTCCTGTGCAGCCTGCTGTAGGTGACCCTGCTTTGGCAGGGGGTTTGGACCAGATGATTGCTAGAGGTCCCTTCCAACCCCGACCATTCTGTGATTCTGTGAATTGCTTTTATGTCCTCTTGTTTCTGAAGGACAAAATCGTATCACTCTCAGTCTAGTCAGAAGGTTAAAGTATCATTTTTGAGGCCCTGTCATTAATGGTCCATGACAGTCAACTTATGCGTGGTGCTCATTAACCCTCACCTCTCTACCCACTTGAGCACCACAGCTGAACGAGGGGTGCCAGGTCTCATGGCTGTAGAAATGTGACCAGAAAGTCAGCTGATGAACAGACTACCTGCGTAAGTGGAGTATGTAAATGGAAGATAACCATAAAAAACATTTTCATCATGCCAACTCTTGTTGTCTTGTTGCTTGACCTTCACTTTCTGTGGTGTCAAGCGCAAAACCATCTTGCCTTCATCTCATAGGTTTCTAGTCAGTGCCCCGGAGCTGAGAAGATGACACCAAACTGTGCTCGGCACAGCTTGTGTTACTGTGTGAACTGCCTCATCTCTTGTGAATAAAATGAAAACTCTGTCATTTTATATGAAATCCTGACTTCAATAAAAGTGCAGAATGGCTATTTGTTACTGTTTGTTTTTTTTTGCATGAGGCAAGGATTTTGCCATCAGCTGTAGATGGGGCTTGCACTGCTCCTCGTGACTGTCACAGCCTATAAATGGAAACCTCCAGCACGCGAGGTTTGCTCTTCATTGGACATGGTAACACTAGGTGAGAATATTGGAAAAACTGTCTACATGGAAACAGCCTCTGGATACTTCAGGCACAGAAGATGTAAAGCAAAAGGCACTCTCCACGGAAATGATTGTTACATTGTCAGATGGTATAGGGTAATTTGGAAAGAAAGAGTGAAGATACATTATCTACCCCAAGGTGCTTTCATTGTGATTTGAATATAAAATGCATGAAGTCTCAGGTACAGGTGTTGGAACTGACAGTGGCTTAGAGCTGTGGTTTTAGTCTGCTGGTTTTTTTTTTCCTTGTTGTAGGTTGTAGTTATAACCCATCTGAGAAAGGAACTTGCTGGGTTCCTGAGGGCGTCGTAGTTCCAGCAGAGTTTGTGAGCTTGGAGCCTGGGCTGTGCTTACCTGTCCTGTATGCTGCTTTCCCCAGTGAAATCCCATTATCTGAGTTTGTAGCTGCTTGTTACGATGTGAGAAATGTACATTTCTTTTCAGTTTGTGCATGGTGTCATTTTGGTAATTTTGTTTCAAATGAGGTCTGATACTTTCTTGTTTCAAATGGCATAGTTTCAGAGTTTTTTTTTTCCCCCTGCTTTTAATATGCGTAAAACAGACACAAGAAAACAATATTTACAGTTTGTTTGCAAGGTTCTAGTGTGATGTTTCATTCTGATGTAACCTGCCTGTCCTGTGTATCTAGTCTTGCATCTGAAGCACTGAACTGAATTGGCTTGTCACTGTTAACTGTGTTTCTCTTTCCACTTTCCCATTTTCAGATGTAATTTTGAAAGAATCTTGCACCTGATGGGTTGATTAGAGGGGAGATGAGCTATTTTCTTTTTTTAAATACTACAAACAAAATAAAAAAGGAAGAGGAAAAAGCCCAGATCAACCAAAGCTTATGACATGAGTTGAGAATGCGTAACCCTGGGCAAAAAGGGCCAGGTATTGGAATAGTTCTTGACTAACCTAATTGTTTGATAAGGATCCTTGCCTGTTTAAGTTGTTGTTGGTTGTTGGAAACATTCCATTTCTAAATTTGTACCTTACTGCATACCCCGAGGTAGGTGTACAACCCACTGTAATTGCACAGTTTATTATTTTATTAATGAGAGCTATGATAATGTGTTGGCTCACGAATTCCCTCCGGTCCAGGTATGGTCTCCTAATTGCCCAGGGTTGTGCGATTCCATCGTTTGCTCCAGGGTTGGTGACGGAGAGTAAAAGCTAAGCCTTTGCAAGCATGGTTTAAAGAACTCAGACCTTGCCCTAAAGCCTGTATTTGGTGTGATCTTGCAACCAAAGGCTGGGAAGGTGGGATACATTTTAACGCACACCTAATGAATAATAATAGAAGCAGCAGAAGTGAATTCTTACTGCATAATCCCAGGCACCTGAGACTTTGCCAGCTGGAAGGAGAGGGATGCGCACCTTAATTGGCCTTCCCAACCATAACAGAGCACCCCTTCGTACTTCTTTGATCTGGGTCTCTCTGCCCGAGTGGCTGGAAGACTCGCACTCCATTTGCTGTAAGGGACACAGCCGTGAGCAAGCGTCTGGCGTGCAACAGCAGCTGCTCTTTTTAATGAGCCTCTGGGGCAGCAGGCGTACTGGGGTGTCCTCTCCCGTGTTCCGGCAACTATTTCTGTGTGCAGATACAAGACTCGTAGTGCAAGAGCAGGGCGCAGCATCACTGGAGGTGTGGTCTGTGGGGGAGCTGGGGAAATCCAGTTTACTGTAACTCTGGAGACAAAACTTAAAAAAAAAGCCGTAGCGAAACACCGCAACCTCAAACAACTAGCACTTGCTCCTCAGTGCTGCTGGGCTTTCCTGGTACCCTGGACTTGCAAGGTCCGGGGAGCTCTCTGAGGGGTCCGTGGCTGCCCAGGTCCCCCCTTCCCCGCAGGAAGGGGGACCACGAGTTCCCACGGAGCGTGTTGCAGGCTGCCTCCGTACTGTGGTGGCTCGTACTACGGGCTTCCACAGCTCCTGAAACTGCTCATTATGGCGCTTGGCTCTTTTACAAGGGCTTTGCATAGCTGTAGCCCCCATGGCTTGCTGCAGCATGTTTTTTTCTGTGGAACAGATGGTATATTACGTAGAAAGTTACTGTATTTTTGTATCACTGATTTTTATTTATTTATTTCACTGTTTGTCTTCCTTTTTTTTTTAAAGTGGGCATATAACATAAGTGCAGAACTTGGAATTGGTATTGGATTTGCCTTTGATATGTTAATCTTTATATTTCTGTATGTGTGCAGTATTTTACACTGAGTAGTGCGTGCTTTCTGAAGCGTTAGTGAACAGATTGATGTCATTTGAATTGAAATCAGTTCAAAATAGTGTAAAGGAAAAAAGCCTAGGAAAGAAGATCTTTGAAAGGAAAAGTAAATGTCTTCTTCAACAAGCTTTGTAATCACTGGAGTACGGTTTTGTTTTTAAGTCAGTAAATGTGTTTTCTGTATCTAATCTTTGTTTTTCTAATTGATATCATCTGGTCAATTTGAATGAAAATGCTATTCCCATAAGAAAAATATTTATTCTAAATATTATTGTTGCCTAGGATCTTGTTGAATTCATGAGATACAGAAGCAGTCAAGTTGATTTAATATTTTTAACATTTTTATAGTGTTTTCTCATTGTTTCCATGAAAGCAATTTCAATAAATATTTTAGCAACTGCTTTTGGTTTCTTGAAATTAGGTTACCTATTGTTGAAAACTCTAGGTTCTTAAACATGGGTTTCAGATCTGCTTTGTCTTGATTAGACATTAGAAATAAAACATAAATACTTGAGCAAGCCCCAAAACAAGGGCTTGTCTTTTCCTCTGCTAGTTGTTTCCAGGACTTAATGTGCTTTGTCCAGAGAATCTCCGTAAGTTGTTACTTATGAAAGATAGTTACAGTTACAGGGTTTTGGTTCCGCTTAGCCAAATCACTTTCATATATTAACTTTTTTTTGTGTGTATCTATATTATTATACACACACATATATATATTATTTTATATATATATGCTCACACATACATGAGTGTATGTGTGTACATATGTAAACACCCACAACACACATATATACATTCTCACACTATGTCTACAGACACACGCACCTGAAAAGCGTGGGATCATCCCAGCTGAAATGTCAGGTTTGTTTTCATCTCAGTCCTTACCACATAATCGCAGTAGTGTTTTTTGTTTGCAACATAGTGTTTTCCTGGTAGCTTCTGAACAGGAGGCTGTGCGTCCTGGTGTCTGGGGAACCCCTGGCGTGCCTGGGGGGAAGAGACCAGTGCTGGTGGAAGAGTCCTGCTGGGGCGGAGGGGTGTGGCACCGGGCAGGTGAGTGCGGTAGGTGAGAAGACAGATGGTGGGGGATACTTCAGAAATTTCTGTTTGCCACCACTTGGTGGTTGGATTGTGCCCTTCAGTGGTGGGCAGTCTCTCATGCTGCCCTATTGAGGCTGGGTACCAGGTTCACAGTGAAAAGCAGGCCCCCCACTTCTGTTTTCTGCCACCTGTATTTTAAAGATAAGTGATTACTTGCTGTTGGGTATTTGGCAGTTTGGACCTTGTCATCTTTACTTGCCTTGCTTTCTCATAAAAGTGGCACAGGATATTTTAATTATGTTTATAGAACTGCCTGAGAGAGTTCCCTTAGTGATGGGACAGTTCAACAAAAAAACTCAAGATAATGGCTTTTCTACTTGCATTTCCCAAACATCCCTTCAAAGGGAAGTGAAAAAATTGTAAAAACCTTGTACGTAGTTTAAATTCCTGAGTGATACAATATCGTGGCTTTGTTCTAAGTATGGGTAACACAGATGGGTGTTGTAAAGGGTAAAAGTATAACCGAGTTTGTGGGATCTGTAAAGGTTTTAAATAATTTGTAGGTTGCCAACTTTGTTTAAGAGTTATTTTCTGTATGTATTTGTACTTACTGCAACCAGCTTCTATTTTGGAGTGGAAAAGCACGTGTTTTCATTAGCATACCAGGGGCACTGACAGTGAGGCCAGTTCACAGTTTGCGTCTGTCCCTTTGCTTTATGTTTCAAACTTTAAATGAAGAAAAACCAACACGACAGATACAGCTCTTTTAAAAATGTTAGGGTCATGTATGGATGCAAAGTATACTGTAGAGAACATATGGCACTTTCTCACCTCAAACCATGGTAGAGATGGTTTAATACCGTTCTTCAGCTAACGGAACAGTAAGATGTAATTACCTGAAGGTTAACTCTCAGGGCATGGAGGGGTGTGTGGAAACACTGCTGTTCCTGGTTACGTTCTCTATTCTTTAACAGACACTGTATTGCGACAGGCAGCCATGTATGTGTGAAGAATGCCTATTGCGATACCATGTGCCAGTGCTGAGTGGTTCCACAGCCTGGCTGCGTGCTGCAGTTGTGCCGTGTGGCAATTGTCTCAGTACAGTCAAAAGTACAAATTGTGGGTGCATTTCTTTCATTCTCGGATATGGGGCTAAAAATAGTTGACCAAGCTTATTCTGAGTGAGTGTGGTACTTTATGGTCAGATTTCAGAAAATGAAATGCCTCTTACGGGTTGATTAGGATGCTGCGCACAGTGGAAGCTTTCTTGCAGTACTTTGAAGGTTCCATGCCCTTTTCCTTCTCTCAGGAGAACACCACTACTTACACCCATTGCTGTGTATGATACAGGCTGGATTCTGATCCAGCACCTGCATTTTTAAGGGCCAGATTCTGAGAGCTGTACTTTGACCTAATACAAACTGTCTTTGCTAAAGTTAATGCTTCTTTGACTCGATGCAGAGTTTAAATCAAATTTTCTTCCTCAGATTGTTAGTTGTGTGCTGCAAATCATTGCCAACACCAAAGACTCATTTGTCCCCTTTTTTTTTAATACTGAAAAGAGTCTTAATGATTAGTGCCACACTGACAAACTTCGGGATGAAGTCTTCAGGCTTGTTGGAACAAGCAGCAGTGGAGGTTTCTTCATGCTAACTGGGCAGTGAATCTTCAAGAAAAGCTGTCTTTGAAAAATTGACCTGGAAAGGAAAGGGTGGAAAACAACCAAACCATCTCATATCCTTGTAGAAGATTATGTTTTTAAAAGTATATGTGAAATGTTTAGTTTATAAATAATTAAAACTACTATCTTTTACCTTCTTTTAGTAAAATAAGCAGTTTTGATAAGCCAGTGGCATTGTATATGTCCCACAAAAGGTATGATTTCTTATGACTTCAAGATACAGACTGGCTGTTCCCTAGTTTCAGTTCTAATACTCCGAATTACTAGGGCTGAAAGGCTGGCTTCAGTTCCCGGTGTGACCACAGGGTGGTTGCTGCAGAAACACGTCAAAAACACTCCTCTTCTGCTAGTGATGGTCGTATGAGATGAGCATCCAGAAAAGCATTTTCCAACTCCTTGTAAGCTTTGTGATTGAGGTTTGTTGAATTAGGTGCCTCTATTTGAAAATCAGCTTCTGTCAAGTGGAGCACTGCTACCCAGTGTGTCTCATTCAGTGTACAGAGCAAAAGTCTGGTGTGCTGGACACCAGAGGTTGTTGCTAGGACATGCTCGTTGTGGAATGACTGTATTTACCCCACTGTATTTTGGCATGTTGTTCAGAGACTAATGAAAATGGGTCTAGAATGTGCCTCATGAGTGAGAGCGCACCAGAAGCCTGTCTCCCCCTGCCCCAGGGGAGGATCAGCTCTAACCAAACCATTTCCTATGATGGCTGTCCAGTCTGCTCTTTAAAACTTCAGTGCTGGAGACTCTGAAACCTCCCGGATGGTCTCATTTGGATTCTTAATGATGCTTTCCATTAAAAATGTCTTTCTAATGTTTAACTTCAGAAGGTAGTAATGGTGAGTAGGACTGCAATCCAGGTTCTCCCTACGCTTGCCAGGCAAGTATACTAATGATTGACTTGGGGTCAGATGGACAGCCTGTGAGACGGTCAGTTACCGAATGCTGAACTCCCACGTGCCGCTGCGCAACTCCTGCGCCTTCACCCTTTTCCTTAAGCTGGGCCCTTGTCTGCTTCAGGCGGACGGGTGAAATTGGAAAGAAAGCATCTGTGTTCGCTTTGCTGGCTTGTCAGCCGTATCTGACAAGGGAATCCTGTAGTTCTACATTCTGCTTGTGCCCCAAATGCATTCACAAAACATGTTTTACTCCATGGGATCCAAAAATATGTAAGGCTTGGTTTCCAGATGCTTGCAGAAGTATGGGCTATACTGAGAGCTTAGTGTATTTCTGTAGTGTAGTAATATTCTTACACAAGCTGTACAAGAAAAACAAGAGCAGCACGGCTCCTGAGCAAATATTGTTTCTAGTCACATACGATACTCTGCAGCTGAGCCTGGTAACATGCTGCTTAGCTGTTTTGCTATGCAAGTGCAGAGAACGCTGTTAGCAATAAAGCCACTGCTGGTTTCTCCTCCAAAACCTCCCTCCTCGCAGTGCATTGGAAATGACTGAACTTTGGCCCTCAATCTGCTGACACCCTGAGGGAGTGTAAATGTAATGACGTCTTTGCTTGTTTCAGCTGCACAACAGGAAACGCTCATGGCCTCCCCTGCTTCCTGCTCTGAGAAAGTGCGGGCCTTTTTCTTTTTTTTTTTTCCTTCGCTTTTTTCCCTCCCTTCCCCTGCAGCGGAGCGGGCTGAGCCCTAATTTCAGGTCTGGGCTCGGCAGCCAGCCGGTGCTCGCGCAGGGCCCCCCTTGCTGCTGCCTCCCTATTGCTCTGCTGTGGTGGTGATGCCAGAAATAAGAGCATTTTAATTTATTTACTTATTTTTTTTTTACCCTGGAGAAGTGACTGAGAAGAGAATACTGTTATGTGGCAATAGCTTTCTCCACAGAGCATGTCACTGGATACAGCTCAGCCGCAAAGACCAGGATGGTCAGGTGATGCTTTGCCTTGGGGAGACCACATCACTTGCATAATACAGAAGACACGCTGTCAGGTGGGCATTGAGGGATCCTGGAATATGGTCCCGGTAGTGCTGAATAATGCTTAATATACAGGGCCTGAACAGATTTCTTTACCTTGCTGGGATACAGAGGCTT